GAATGGACCAAAAGAAATCTCATGAGGTTCAATAAGAACTGCAAAGTCCTGTACTTTGGACAGAACAATTCCATGCACCAGTACAGGCTAGGGACCAACTGGTTAAGCAGCATCTCTGCAGAAAAGGACCTGGGGGTTACAGTGAATAATAAGTTCAATATGAGACAACAGTGTGCCCTTGTTGGCAAGAAAGCTAATGGTATATTGAGCTGCATTAGTAGGAGCACTGCCAGCAGAACAAGGGAACTGATTATTCCCCTCTACCTGGCACTGATGAAGCCACATCTGGAGTACTGTGTCCAGTTTTGGGCTTCCCACTATAGAAAGGATGAGGACAAATTGCAAAGAGTCCAGTGGAGGGTAATTAAAATGGTTAGAGGGCTGGGGCACATGACTTCTGAGGAGAGCGTAAGGGATCTGGGCTTATTTAGTCAGGAAAAGAGAAGACAGAGGGGATTTAATAACAGCCTTTAACTACCTGGAGGGTGGTTCCAAAGAGGATGGAGCTAGACTGTTGTCAGTGGTGGCAGATGACAGAACAAGAAGCACCGGTCTAAAGTTGCAGCAAGGGACATTTAGATTGGATATTAGGAAAACCTCTCTCACTGTAACAGTACTAAAGCACTGGAACAGGCTACCCAAAGGTTTTGGAATCTCCATCCTAGATGTTTTTAAGACCCAGGTAGACAAAGTCTTGGCTGGGATGATATAGCTGGGGATGGTCCTGCTTTGAGGAGGGGTTTAAACTAGATGACCTCCTGAGGTGCCTCCCAAACCAAATTATCTATGATTCTAAGATTTCTTGAAGGGTTTTATTTAGGTTTCCTATTCATTTTCTTCTAGGAGTAAGTAAATCTGTCATTTTTCCTTCCATGCTTCCTGCATGCTGTCATAGCAAAGTAAGGCAGATGGAGAGGGATGACTGATATAGCTGAGGGTGGTTAAAGGCAAACCTTACAATTGCCTGAAGAGGTCTCATATCGCACATGATACCGCATCTTTGCTACAAGATGTGTTGGTGGAGTCCCACAAGGATCAATTCTCTTGCCAGACCTATGGAATACCCAAATGCTGCCATCAGCAGAACAGTAAAACAACAGTGACACTTGTGCCAGCAATACTGGTAATCCCATGCCTTTTGCTGGTCACCAGTTAGGGCCCAGAAGAAACTTCTGCACCCCCCCACTCCACTCATGAAAGCCACTAGCTTCTAGGCTAGGGACAGATATTACACAGATACTAGTTTAAGTGATAAGAAATGGGTTTGAACCTGTAACAGAACAAACGTTCAGTGCATATAAACCAGTCTGAAAATGGATGAAACCGGTTTGAGATAAATCTGGTTGAACGTAGTATCAGACTTAACTGATTTAGATCAAACCAGTTTATGCAATGTCTGTCCCAGGCCCCTTCCTGGTTTAAGTTAAACTAGAGTGCCCAAGCATCCCAGATGCTTTGCAACTCTGGGCAGGGCTCTACTCTCTTCTCCAGCCCAGCAGGGCTGACCCAGGCCCCCTGCTCCCTGGCTGCAGCTCCGGCAGAAACTGCAGGTACAGCCACATCTGCCTGGCTTCCTCCTGCTCCCCACCCTCCCTCACCACTCCCTGGTCAAGCAGCAATTCCCTCCTCCCCTCTGCCTTACACACACACACCTCTCAGCATTAGCTAGCATATCACATGCTGGCTATGGTCTGTGCTATGGGAGACAGGACAAAGGCAGAAAGGCGAGAGTCAGCTTAGGGCTTTCTAGAGCTAATCAATAAGTAGCTAGTAATGCCCCTCCTTCCTTCCTTGGAAAAAGTTGTTTAAAAAGGGCCTGAAGTAATGAAAGAGGCTTTTGTTTTCTGATGGGGTGCTAAATGCTATCAACTCCCTGTGTAACTCCCTGCTGTGTAACTAAATTCTCTGTTATCAACTCTCTACTGTGCTGGCTCCCTCCTAGGTCAGGAACAGTGAGGGGTGGAGGGGAACCCCTCCATAATCAGAGTCCTGCTGGGTCCTGGCCAGGCTCACCCCCTCAGCTCAGCACTGTCAAAGGGAAGGGAGGCCTGCTCTAGCATCCCCTGGCTTCTAACCTGAGCCACTGCAGGCATGCGCCTGTATTTCTTAAGTCCATTGGGGATGTCTGTATGGTTACAAACCAATTCAGCTTAGCCAGATTAGACTAGCCTGCCAACATTAAATCAATTCAGGCTCAGGCTTTCTGAATGTCTGTCCCTAGCCCTAAGGGGAAGATGGAGGTTGCCTTTCCGCTGAAGTATTGCAATGCTGAATACAGCAGACGCTAGGGATTTTTGACTGGGGCAAACTCCTGCCAGTACTTGTTCTGCTCTTGCTCTTCTCCTTGCAGTTAGTATACTATTGCCAAATCTGGGGATAGAAAAGAATTTTACCCTAACATCAGATTGGCAAGGACTGTTGGGGGTTTTGCCTCCTTCTATAGTACAGGGTATAATCCTTTTCCTAGGATCTTCTTAGCATGTTGACCAACTACTTTGTTTTTGCAGTGGTAAAGCATTGGCAGTGTCCAGCTCCCCTGCCATTAGCTACAATGTTATAGGGTAATACTGGTGTTTCAGATAATGTGCCTTATAGCTGCATATGAGGGTTTGGACATTCTTTGGGTAACTGATTGCCTCTCTCTTTCAACCAAGCATGCATGCATTCAGCTTCTATATAAATGTGTTTAAGAGTTAATGTGTAAACAAAATATTTGCAAGTTAAACAGCTTAAATTTGTAGAAGCTGCTACATATGTAATAACAAGTTCGTAACCCAAGTATTAGAGAGGCCCTCTCTCACACATAATCAAACCGTGTTGTACAGAAGCAAGCAATTAAATTATAACTTATTTTACTACAAGGTCTTCCCTGACTTAGGTGGCAGAACAAACTTTCTCTTGTTTTCCCAGCTAAAATAACTGCCACTGACAGCAGCTTGAATTTTACATGTACTGCTTTCCTTCTTAAAATCAAAATTTCTTGCGGAAACAGCCATTAGCAAGTTTGCACTGTTCTCAAAGTTGTTACATAGGCTTTGGCTGGAACATTACATTCTAGTTTCCTAGTTTGGCAAAAAAAAATTTTGAACTACATGAGTAGCTGATAAACTCAAATATGACTTCTTCCTCTCCTTGTCTCCAGAGAGCACTGATCAGATTACTAATAGGCATCTTGTTCAAACCAGGTGTCATGCTCAGGTATGCTGAGCAGTACTTTTCTCCAGAGACTGCTGATGTGGATATCAGTGAAGCCCATCACCTCCCTCTTCTCAAACCAGCAGCTCTGTTAATCCACTAAAGCACTTTGCTTCATTTCTACCAAGCAGCCCACTCTCAGCCATCCCCTTATCCTTGTCTGGCAGGTAGGTAAATGACACTCTCACTTCCCCACTCTTCCTAATGCCCAGAAAGTCAGTGTTAGTGTTTCCTACACTGTGCTCATGGTTTTTAGCCTGGAGTGATTCTTAATGTGAGATTAATTTATCAACATCAGAAACTTAGACACAGGAAAGTAAACTACTGCCAGCACACATGTATTTGCTAACACAACAGTTTCTAGGAATGGGGCCTCTAAGAATATCACTCTGTATGCTGTCCTTCCTAACATAATGCAGTGACCGAAGCTCAGCATACAAATAAACTATTAGTAGTACCTTTCTATACAGTTATTTTGTTAAAAGGCTTCTCTTTCCCAACTTGCAACCCACTGCTTTGCAAGGCCCAAGTAATGTTAATAGTAAAATATTCCTATGAAAGATGGCTGAAAGATGCAACTCAATACCTTCTAGTGAAAATTTAGATTTCTGTTTTGTAACAACTATATTATAGAAAAACAAAAATATTAATAGTTTAGGTCATCTTTGGTAGATGCAGCTATAACTCCACTGACTTCAACATGTAAATCAGGACTGAATTTCCCTATTACAGGAGTGCACAATCTTTGGTTTATAGGTGCCAACATAGTGTCATCTGGCCCACATGGCTCCCCACCAGTGCCAAATTTAATGGTAGGGGAGCAGTAGCATCGCTCCCCTGCTGCCAAATGTCCACATCCATGGTAAGCCCTATGGGCCGGATAGCAGGGCCCTGCACACAGGATGGCACAGGACCTGATCCCAGAGTACAGGATTAGGTGTGGGTGGCACAGGGCTCCAGAGTCTCATCCTGTAGTGCAAGGCCTTATCCCAGCACATGGGCCAGGGCAGGAGCAGCACAGTACCCCAGGGCCCAATCCCAGTACCAGAAGCCAGGCAGGGGAAGCACAGGACCCAATCCTGGTGCAGGGGGCCCAATCCAGCCTACAGACCAGCTCCTTACTACTAGGGTTGCCAACTCTGACTGAAGCTATTCTGGGTGATTTTTTTTTCCCTTAAAATATCCTATTAAAATCTCCCGGATTGCTTTCAGTAGTTACCGGGAGATCGATGCTATTCTGATCTGGGAGGGTTGGCAACCCTACTCACCACTCAACTGGCCCACAGGGCTAAAAACTGAGCACAACTGCAGTATTACATTGATTTTAAAACACTGCAGTTTCAGAGAGGAAATTCTTTGGCTGCTCTGGCAAGTTAATTAAAAAAGCTGGTGATGTTTCGTGCACACCTGGCGCGGAGGCGGACGAGCCGGCGCAGGGCGCCAGGCCGCCGCTGTGAC